GGAGCACTCACCACAAACTTCATAAAATCTATACGCTCTTTGTCATCTTGAATACTGGAATTTATTTAGTGATGCCCTTATGTGGTGGTCCTTATCTACTAAATTTCTTATTCGAGTCTCGAAACATTGCTTTGACCTTCAAATTTGGTTTTTTCATTTATCCTCATGAAATATATAATGACAAACTCGCAATACATACTTTCCCACAGTAAAGTTCCGAAAATCCAAAACACATACGTACCGGATAGTATAACTTACGTATTACGCAACAATATCTATCTAGACGGCAAGACATATCGCAGCCTTGTTAAGCTATTTTAGCAGTTGGTTGCATGTTATGTTTCAAATGTTTATGACAATCGATCGAGTGACGCGTATTAAAAAAATCGTTTTAGTCTAAATATAATTTTTCGTTGCCTTCTAAATGATTTATCTAGCGAGTCTTCACTACACCTAGGACACAGAAATTAGAAGTGTACTTATTTTGTCATTCAATATGTAATATCCAGAAATTTACATTAATGAAATCATACTTGAAACGTCAAGTATTCCGATTCGAGTCGCTTTGCTTTATCTCTTCATTCGTTTGCTCTCAGTATTCTTGAAGATCGCAAAAATTGACGCGAGCGACAAACTGTCCTGATTTACTTCCATAGGGTAAGGGCAAGCAAGTGGAAAAATATCCATTATTCGACTATGGCTTATTAACAACGATAAGAAGTTTCACAGCAATTCGAACCGCGACGATAGATAGAGAAGTAGCTCGACATTTATTTTGTTAAAGTCAAAGCTAGGAAAAAGACTGGACGGTTCTATGGATGGTTATTAAAGATTCTTCCTAAGTCGAATACGGTTGGTTTACTTATCACATTGATATTATTCCTTAACACAATTACTGAAGAATCTTGCATTAATAAGAGCAAGCGAACGTACAGCTGATTGGAACCAAAAAATGGAAAAGAAAAAAATGTCAAACTCCTCGAAGAATTGTGGTAGAAATTGTGTGTAGAAAATAACATAAAACAAAGATGGTATTGCAATATTTATGGTTTAAAGCACTTTGAACATTTTTACATCTAGCACTCAGCCTATTAAATATTAGTGTACCCTTTACACATATTTCGATTACATTATTGTTTTGACAGCATATCCTTACTCGAACATTACATGTTATATTTTTCAATTGAATCAAATTTTTAATGGTACTATTAAAATTAGATTGTTTTAATAATCAATGAGCTGCAACATGGTCGCCTGTATACATATGAAACCATTCCTATTCAGGAGATATATTCTAAAATATATGTTCAGATCGCTGCGCCGTCTGCACATTTAAGGAGAAAACAAGCAACATTAATACCTTCAATTTTGAAAAGATCTTTATGAAGGAATAAAGCCCCGTTCACCCATCTGTGAAGCTGTCGCTTAGCCTGAGTTTCATTTAGAAATAAGCGTAACTAAATGCGACTTTCAATTGGAATAATGACCTCTCCAGCGTATCCTTAATTATTAGCAAATTATTTTTGTTTTATCAGACGACAAGAACCCGGGACAGTTGCACCCATAGTTCGTCTACTATATTATGAATAATTAAAATGATTTCTGTTGCAAGGTGTGTCTTTGCTAATGTATCTCATCAAAAAGAAAAAAACAAAAAAAATGTAACCACAACGTTAGGTATCTGCTTATTGCATAAAAGATAATCACAAGCACGTAACTATCATAAGTTCTTTGTCTTAATTGGACTACGATTTTTTTCGATTTAAGGCAATGTCATTATTTTTCATATTTGAAGGCAAGGAGCAAAGAAAAATACTATTTATTACGTAAAGCGCATGAAGAAAATTATGGAGCTCTACATAATAAAAAAGCAAAAACAAAAAAGACACCAACGAGAAATCAAAAGCTTAAATATGTGCGCACATAAGCATATTACTATGAAACAGAAATTTTTGTATAGAAAATGTACGACTCTTATAGAAAATGTTGCATGTACCCTGCCAATCTCTAGCACGCATGCTTTGTACTCTGTGTGACTATTGGCGGATACCACGCCTTTAGAAACTTCTTACTATATCTTCGTACAGACCGAAGTGTTGCTTAACAATCGCGTGATTCGAGTTATCGACGAAAGCAATCGGCAATGAAAAAATTAAATTAAATTTGTTTAATATATAAACTTCATAGGCCTGGTACATAGATGATACAGTTAGTAGGAGAAATGTATCTTTATTGGCTACTTCTGTCCATTGCGTAAGCTCTTCATAAATTTTGAATCGGTCCATTAACTGAACTCTATTTCGCAGTAATGATTAAGGTTTTACGTGTTTTTTGCATTTAGGACAAAGTTAAACAGAAAAATTTTTTATACGTTAACGGGCAGAGCTCCCTTACATAGGCTAAAGGGTAAAAGTATTGATTCTCCTGTGCAAATGTCATCCGGCATGCGTAGATGATGGTACATATAATATACCGACGATTCGAGAAAATATTGAATTAATCGTAATTAAGGTATCAGATATTCGAAGTATGTTCCCATTAACCAGTACGCTGAATTTCTTCAATTCGAATGAAGTTTTCAACTGAATTAAAAAAAATGATCTCAGCCATCAAGTAGTTAAAAAGGTCAAAATTATCAAAAAAGGAATGAACAAAGAAACAATTATTTGACTGTTTTTACAAAAAGATTATCAGTCGCATGTTTTGCTTTAATTAACTGAAATGTTTCTGAGAGAGAAAAACAACATTCCACACCTATGAAGTGTGTTTTTCGAATAACCAGGAATTGTATTCTTGTAATTGCTGGAGTTACATTCTGGATGATTGATCTAACTCACCAAAATCTCTAAAAATTCCCATCTGGGAAACTCGATGTACAATCAAGTGTAGTAGCTGTAGATGAGTATAAATGAGTAAACATTTTTCCAAGATATCATCGAGGAGGGAATAAACAATTTGGCAGCTATTAGAACTCTTTCCCTCCCTACCTACAAATTTAGTGCAAGAAATCTATGTATGAGAAATTGTTGAAAGGAATTTGAAAACATAGACAGAAAAAGACAATTCATAAAAAATCCATTTGATCCGTAAAGAACTGTTGACTCTTTGTGTACTGAATGATATATTCCCATCGTATTTTTAATAAAATCGTTCAAGTATCTGTAAATTTATCTATAAGCGTTATATGTGCTCACGTTCGTAATCAACGCAATTACTGAGCGTGGGTTTAACGGAAAATAAAACAATTTATTTTGTATAAATTTTTAATTTATTCTTAAAATGCAAAATAAAATAAAAAAGAAAAGAAGATAGCAAACGTATTGTAATATAGACTAATATTGCAATATTTAGTACACATATCTCGTGGCCATGTGTCGTCATCATTGTTATTATTATTATTATTATTATTTACAAACTAAATTTTTATAGCACGATATCACCGTGTTCTGTACCGTAAGTAATACTGTAATACTAGGAGAAGATAAACTGAATTAAATTTCGTTATTAGTTGGTTTCATTCCATCACACATTCAGTATCAGCTTTAACAAGTATTTAAAAGCGTTCAAACACTTTCCGTTATACGTGAGAACTTTTACTTTAACCGATAACATACTTAAGTGAACATATCAACGAATCAATGCATATACATATATGTGTGTAGGTGTGTGTACAATAAAATTAGTAATTGTAGGCGTACAAGCCAGAGAGCACTTTTATCATAATTGAAATATAAGCGTGTAATGATTATTGATTGATCAATTGATGGACAACAATTAAATAAATATAAAATGAAATAAGAAAGATATTTTTTTAATAAAATAAAGAAAAAATAAATAAATAAATAAACAAAATTAAGAACGAATTTACATAAACTTATCGCATATATTACATAAATATATCATAAATATGTGTGGAGAAAGCAAAATTTCAAATAAAACAATTTGTTAACCAATACATACAATTAAAAGAAAAAACAAACATAAAATTTATTTTATTGTAATCCATTTAAATGCAGGTATGGTATGAATGAAAATTAATTGAAAGCAAAAAAAAAATTAAAAATAAAAAAAATAAATAAAATAAATAATATAACTCTCTCTGCAATCCAGTTATCCGGGAAGTGCTAACAAAATGTGGCCCTTTATTACCTATTTTATAGTTGATTTTTTTAATTAGTTTTCAATAAAAATATAAAACCCTTTTGTAATTCTATACTAAATTACATAAAATTTTCTTTGTATACAAAAGATACTCAATTTATATATCAATGTACATTTTTATCGTTGTACGTGAAGGACGATTAAGCTACCATGGCGTATGTGTAACAAGAAGAAGGCTGTAAAGTAATTTCTTCAATTAAAGGAATGCCGATGTCATACCAAAGCATAAATTTACTTAATTTGTCTAACGCTTCGGTTAACAAGCGATTTACAATTCGAATCGATTTTTATAAGCAATTTTTATATTAATAAATTTTTGCTATTTTGTATTTCTTTACACGATCATCCGGATCCGCTTACTTCATCACTTAAAAATGAAATTTCATCATTTGCGTATGTATTGGTTTTTTCGATGAAACTTTATTTCTTAACTTCTTACGACTCGTTTGCTGACTTCATTCATATTCATAATTTAACGTCAATCGATGCCATTATATAGGGATTTAGGGAAGTTCACATACACGAAGAACTAAGTTTTTGCATTCAAGACTCTCTACGATACTTGTTAACACTTCGAGAATGGCGTTTTCATGTAAATCAATGTACAACCTATAAACTTCTTTATATATATACATATATATATATGTATATGATGTACATATAAAGTAATAAGTTTAATGCAACTCTCAACAATAGGGCAACTATTAATTATGATTAATTATATTGAATATATGATATAATTCAGTTTTAATTTAATTTAAGCAGCAAAACAAGGAAAAATTTAAAAAAAAGAAAAAGTATATATAACTAAAAAAAAAAAAAAAAAACAAGTAATTCGTAGGGAACCAAAAAAAATCATATTATAAAAAAGAATGTTTAAATTAAGTACAATCGATTCGTCAGTTGAAAGTGCAACGACTACTAACACATCGAGCGCAGCAATAAAAAATACTCGAGCAAATCTTAAAACCTCTCATCCTCCTTCGTTTATGGGCTTAATAATTAATACAACTTTTAAAAAAATTATAAAGAAAGTCACAGCTATTACGGAAGTTTTATTAAACTCAACGTTTACAAATAATACGCCTGACGTTAACAACATGCTAATATCGCCAGCATCATGGTATAATGCTGATTTATTGGCTTCAAACTATAGCACAATCGTTAGCGTGACTAACTTAAATGAGAATGATTTCGTTGACGAAGACGATGATTGTTACCCGGATAATCCTAATTTTAATTGCACTCGTCTGGAATACCTTGAACACGTATTAGGTCCTCAGACCTTACAGCTTTATAAAGTTCTTTTGGTAAGTTTGCAGAAAAGAATAATTATAGCCGACAAAATTTCAAAAATTTCCCTCAAATGTTTTTTTCTTTTTTTTTGCATTTTAAAACTCCTTATACGACATTTCGCACACGCTCATCAATTTGCCACTTAAAATGATTAAAACCGAATGGACGGCATGCTATTCTAGTAATGACAATAAATTCATTAAAGTGAAGTCTGTCTAAGAGTCATTTCAAAACTAGTTCATCGCGTCGACATTCCGTATTCGAAATTTCATTTGTTTCGCGACTATTTCATCACCTGTTAGTAAACCATAACCATTCTCGAATTCAGTATGGAGACATGCGGCTGTCCATTTTAACGTTTGAAACACTGAATAATCCAGTAATGATCTGCAAATAGAAAGACAAATTTGAAACAATCTATTAAGTATCTCACATTCATCAGGATTGGATGTAGTCTATAAGATCTTTGCTTAGATCTAAACATTACGAATGATGATGACAATTGCAACTTTTATAACGGATATAACATTTGTGCGATATTCTTCTCATTTTTCGATTTTCATGTACGATCAAATGAGCTTTTGTACTCAACTTACGCCTATAACTTGGCTTGTCATGCAGTATACAACTTTTAAACTAACCTTGGAGCGCAGTTTAAGCTGCGCCTTTTAACAATATCCTAAAACAAGTTTACTTGGCATGAAAACTGGTCTACGTATTAACAAATTGTAGTTTTCTCCTTAAGTTGGTGCACTGCGGCCTTATTGACATATAATTTCTTCGAAAATTATACCCATGTAAGGGACAATTTATTGCACGGATTCATTTTAAAATATTTTTTATGTAAATGCAAGCCACTCATTAAAAATTTTTTTAACAGGATTAGAACGCTCTCTCATAAATTATAATGTGAGCCGTTTATTTTGAAAGTGGCTTAAGTCCCTTTTTAAAAAAAATGTATTTAATGATAACAATAATCACAATCCTATATAAAATCTTTTTTTTTTTATAAACAACAGTTAACGAAATGCAAAAAAAATTATTTTGAAACTGGTTTAAGTCCACTGAAAGAAATAATTTTGAAATGGAATGTTTTGTGTTACAAAATTCCGAAAAAATGCATTATGGCACAGTACAGCAATAAAATTCACTACGAAGCTGTAAAATTTATAGCGAGAAAAAATTATAAATTGGCGTTTCTTCGGTAATATGAAAGTGTTTTTAGTAAGTAAATTTCTAGTATTCTTTAACAGTGCAAGAAGAATAGTTGTGTTTATTAATTATAGTTTAAATAGCTTCTATGTCTGACAAAGGATATGTTAGATGCGATTTATAAAAAATGAACCCTATAAAACGTTTTATAAGGAATCTATGCAAGTGGATATAGAGTTCAAAATACTTGATTTATTATCTTGTCGGGGAAGACCAAGGAACTTCAACAAAATAAACTTAACACCATTATACAAAAATGTACGTCCCATTTCAACTGCTAAGTATAAGGATAGGATGGAGTTACTAAGGTATATACCACCTGTGCACCATGAATATTTTAACAACCTCTCACATAATCTAAATGAGGAGAAATAATATGGCAAAATCTCTAATATTATCCTTAATAAATGAATGTTAGTTTAATTGTTTAATAAATAAATCTAAAATAAAGAAAAAATGAACTTATAATAATATTAAACAAAGAACACAAAGTGGACTTATTCCTTTTACAAACGAAAAAGTCAAATTATTAATTTTGAAAGTGGTTCAAGTCCATTTTAGGTTCTGAAATGCAGCTTATTTTTCTAATAAAGTTTACAAAACGTATTACGTTATGTATTCTAACATGTTTAAGGTCATAAAGCCATAAAAACAACTTAATACCAGTTAACAATATTCTTGAAACAATTCAAACGCTATCCCTTAAATATCTCAATATAAGAAAAAATGGACTTAAACCACTTTGAAAATAAACGGTTCATATATTTATACCGTAAACCACTTGAAGTACAGGGTATGTTAGACTTATGCGAACGTATGCAGCACCTAGAAGGGCTTAAAATAGATCCATTTTTTACTACCGATTCATTATCATTTTCAGAGTAGATCACAGCCTATCTGTCCATGTAAATTAATGTAAATTAATAGAAAAATCAAGTTTATCAAATTTTTATCGCGTAGTTTTATTTTTTAGATACTACCGCACATAAGGATTCTTAGGAAATGTAGCCCCTTATATGCCAAGTAGGCCTAATTGTTAGCGTTTTATAATGAGAATTTATTTTTGGAAGTAGTATTATATAAAACTTAATAGGACCAAATTTGGACTACATGGCTCTATTTCATCGACTCGCACTCCATATAATGTTTTGTTATGATATATAAGAATTAGATAAAGGTCTTGATAGATCTATGGTAGCAATTCAGCACAAAAATTAACGGTTGGTAATTTGGATGACATAGGCCTATTTTTTCGATCCTACATGTACAGGGATTATCATGAAAAGCAACCCTTTATATGGAGAGAACGATTGATTAATTTCTAGGTCTCTATGACAGCAAAAAATAAAACGACTTTTGCTGCATCTGTCGAAAGTCCATTTCACGCTATACATGAAGTAAAATGAGTGACAAAAAAGCAAGTAAATATATAATTGTATAGCAGACGTCAAAATCATATTCGGAAAGCTTTATCTAAAAATTTTAATTTCTTAAAAGAAACATTGAAAGAGTTTCAGCGTCATACTTATGAATGATGAAACTTTCATTTGGAAATACGTTTAAATAAACAAAAGTACTTTCTAAAAACGCCTATTATTGTAATAGAGCAGGCAAAAATCAACAAGTAAGACATCCGCATGCAACTTCCCAGTAAGGAATCATTTGGCCAAGAAAAACTTTTTGGAGCGTTTGGCGAAAAGTTTGTAATTTCAAGGGAAAAATTTCTCTCCAGAAATAACTTCACGTAAGAAACAAGTAAGAAAGTTAAATTCAGTCAGGATCGAATCTTTTATACCTTTCGCCGTTATGCTAAAAAAAACAAAAGAACTAAAAGAACAATATTTTCATGCTCTATAATATGGAGTGAGCGGAGCTGATTTCTTCTATTTTCAACATGAAAGTTTTTGTCGCATAAAGCGCATGTGGGCGTTGTAGGTGTGTCGTTTGAAAAGTTCAGGTCAATTCCAAATTCCTTTACAAATTTTTAAGCGATATCTTCATTTTCGCTAACGGGAGAATGTTTACAACAAATACTACACAGTTGTGCAGCTGGAGAGGCGAACGGACGGACATGTTTAGGTGCATTCCAAATTTGAAACTGACCAAGCATTTGTATACTTTATAGGGTTTTTGAAGCTTGTTTCTGCGCGTTGTAAGGGTATTGAAAAAAAAATTAAATTTTGATGCACTATAATATTAAAAGGACTTGGTCAATTTTTTCCATTTTTCAACGCAAATGTCGCAGCATCGTTCATAGAAGATGGGCGCTCAAATTCTTGTACGTTTATTTGCCCTAGTTTATGACTAAACAAAGACGGAAGTGTTCTGAGTTCACGTGATGTTGTGGGCGATTGGTGTATTTTCAGTACACACCCGCATGCAAGAGCTTCCAATGTGTTTGCCAAATTTGAAATCAATAGCTTCAGTTTTGCGGCCAGGGGAATGTTTTCAACAGACATATCACAGACGGACAGGCTTAAAGCGATTCAGAATTTGGTCCTGAATATGAATACATGTACTTTGGTACAAAAGAAGTGCTTCAGAACATTCATGACTGGCCTTAGAGATCTGTCTGTAGAGGTGATCAAATTTTTTGCCCAAACGATTCAGATCTTCGCCTTCCTTGTTATGATAGCAGCTTCAGAAAGTCGCAGAACCCTTGGTTGTTTTCAGCAAGCAGAAGATTTCTTGTCAGAAGTCATTCGATACACAAGACATGACATCGGGACACTTCAACATAAATTCACTACAGCATAAATTCAGTTCAAAAAGAATGAATTGAAATGTTTTCCCTAAGATAATACGCACAACCTTCTCTGCAACCTAACATTCGTTGTCATATAATGCTATAACAGCGTAGGTGCGTTTTTTTTCTCTTGTTTTTTACATTGTCAGTTAGGCAATGAAATCATTTTCCATAAAATCATTTAAGATCATCTAAACGTTCTTCTAATACAAGTTGCAGATAGTTGTTGATGTAATGATATATATACGTACAATGATAGTATATATATATATATATATATATATATATATATTTTTATACATACATACTTATAAATAATAATAAAGTGTATATACATATAAAAGTATGTATATACGTTTTTGATTCTTTTATCTAAAAATGTGAGACTTTTTTTGCTTCTCATTTTACAAATGGTTTGTAAAGCACATATTGTACAATATTTGGTTTCTTGTCGCTTTTCAAGGAAATCGCAGTTTTTTTTTTGCTTTTCATTTTTCCAGTTAAAAAAATGCATTATTTATAACAATGGGAAGACTTAGTTTTCTTTTAGTTATATAGTTTGTTATATTGAATTTGTGCGAACATCTTAAACGACTTAAAATAGTCCCATTGTTTTAATAAAACCCATCGATCCAGAATAAATGATTAAGGCAAAAAGACAAGATGCTGCATCATCGATTAAGCCTGTCCGTCCGTCTCTTTATCTAATATCTATTTGGCCAATGATTTTTGCATTGAAACCATAAGTGGCAATTTTCGAATCTATTGCCTTAAAATTTGCTATACTATAAAATTTTTTGCCCTATGGGCGGATCCTATTGAAAATGATTTGAATCGGATCATTTTTACAATCACTTCTCATATAACGACCTATCTTGAATTAGTCGTTGTATGAAACAACTTTGAATATTTCTTTACAATAATCGGTGACAGAAAGTATTTTATAATGTAACATAAATCCACAAAAATTGGATAGAGTCCCGCCGCGTTTTCCCATGTAACTTAACTGTTCTTATAAAGAGAAGTCTTTAGATAACAACAAAGCCCTATTTTTAGGCTTTCATATCATGTAATTCATCAAAGTTGCTGAAGCAAAGTCTCTTTACTGTACTAAATTGTAACTATTGTAGTCGGGTGTAACTCCCCCTATAAGGACTCTCAGGAAAGGTTAAATTCTATATGCCAGCAAGATTTAATTTGTGGATGAATATACTACGGTTAGTAATAACGTAAATTGACCAGGATGCGCTTAAGAAACAATTACGAATAGTTGAAGGCGTTCAAAACGCTGGAGCAACAAGAGTTCTATAAAAAATTTCATGTGGGATAAGGGTGGGTAAGGACAGTATTCAAAGTCGAGCAGAGGTCACCTGATGGATCTTTATATTTTTATACCCTAAACAAAGGAAAACATGACAGTCGGGCTAGGTCAACTATTAAATACTCTGCATCACATTATCTAACTCGATCCTTATTTTTGCCATAGAACACAAAAATTTTATCCTGTTTTTATAGAAACTTACTATTATTGGAGAAATTAGACCTTTTTGCTTATTTTTCGCAAGGACGGTTTCGCAAGGGCTATGTAAATTGTGGTATATATTAAAAATTCAGATAGTTCATTTGTGTATCAAGCTACTATTATGGAACAATTTTTGTCATAAAATATAAAATCTTCAACTTTTCTGTGCTAAAAAGCAAAAATGTTCGTAAAAATCCTCATATAGAGTAGGATCCAAAAATAGGTGTGGGTGCTCCAAAGTTGGTACAATGAATTTTGGTATCTTAAATTACCATTGTGGGTCAATTTTCATCACCACACATTAAAACAACGACTTTTCTGCTCTACAAAGAATCAATTCTCATGAAAGTCCTTGCTAAGATAGGATCCAAAAAGTAAGCATAGGTTGTACCCAAATTTGCTAAAGTTAATTTTTACCTTAAATTACTATTATAATGCGATTTTCATCATGAAAGATTGAAAATTATACCTTTTTGTCGTATCAACTTTAGTTTTCGTTATATGAGAAATTGTTCAAGAATTGTCTCAGCCGTTCCAAAGTTTTCATTCAGAATGCGGAAACTTTGTTACTTAACCGTTTTTGTCCAGAAATTTTGAAAATTACAATTTTTTCCATATGACGATACTTTGAAATAGGGTGCCATATGGTGAGTAGTAGTAGTTGAAAAAGTGGACCTATACCAAACATTTTCAATAGCGTTCGTCCATGGGCCAAATTTCATCAAAATATCTCAAGAATTGCGACCTGGGGCTTGAATACAATTTTACATCAGACAGACATCAGACGGTCAAATGGACAGACAGGCTTAGATCAATTCACATTATGATTCTGAGAAGATCGGTATAATAAAAGGTGTATCTACTGTAACCCACGCTAACTTCATATACCCTGTACCACAAGTGGGTTATAAAACGGTCCACTTTCCCATATTTCATGCTGAAAATTAATTTGTCATACTAAATTGGCAAAGAAATCAAACTTACCGAATTCAGGCCATGTAGGTTTGTCTTTTGGATATCACCACATATAAGAATTCTCGGGCGCAATGTTAACCCATATATCCCACAAAGACCTAATCATTAATGTTTTATGATCACAATTTGTTCACGATAGCAATCTAACATAAAAATTAAGTGCAGCAAATTTGTTCAGCATGAGACTAATTTTTGGGTCCCATTCCACGTAAGATATCTCCGCCATAGCGATTTAACCAAAAATATTAACGGCACATAGCGCATAGGTTTAGTTTTTAGATCATAACTTATATCTAATAATTGTATTAAGTCAACTAGTGTAGGATATTTAATGGCCGTCTTTGCCTAACTACAATATTCGTATTTGTTTCTTTTAGTTGAAGCATTAGTGAAGCTAGTTAAGTTCATAGCTACGCTTATAAGTACGAGAAGTGTAAACTTATACATTGTTTGTCAATGAAAAAGTCGGTGCATACTCTTTTCGATAGCGAACTGTTAGTAACTAACTGTTTATCTTCTCAGCTATCGTTCTATTTCTCATAATTTCAGATATATTCAGTGGCATTGTTTTTGTGTTTTTTCTTTTGGTTTTTTTTTTTTTTTTATCTAAATAGCATTTTGTTTTTCTATCTTGTGTGCATTTTGAAATAATCAAAGTGAAATGTTATTGCTATTGTTGTTGTTTATGTCTTCTTCTTTTTATCTAGATTACAATAATATATGGCTGCATTTTTATCACTGGTATTTTGGGTAACATTTTAATCTGCGTGGTTATTGTGAGACATCCCAGCATGCATACGGCTACAAATTATTATTTATTTAGCTTAGCGGTATCGGATCTTTTATATTTATCGTTTGGTAAGTTAAAGAACTTGCTTTAGAAAAAAACACAAAGTTTTGCTATTTTTTGTTTACAAAATACAAAAACTTAATTTTAAGGTCAAGGTTAAAAATTTAAAGATATATTTTTGGCAAACAAAATTCAAGCTCATAACTCATATAAAAATAAATCGATTTCATTGTAGAATGTAACTCAAATGTAACTCATGTACACCACGTATTCACTAAATTATGTTAGACAAATTCTCTGTGTTTGTTATATTAAGTGAATAGAAACATTTTTAATAGACGCATAAATTCAAAATTTTATACTCATAGTTGAATCAATTTAATTAAACGAAGCTAAATAAAACGAACAAAGAAAAATATTGAAAGGATGGCAGAAATGGAATGCAATAGATTCCAAATTTTATGCTCACTATTAGAGAAGTTTTCAACGTAACACTGTGCACTGATGTGATACTAAAATTTCAAGATAAGATTTTATATTAGTTCAAAGTCAGTCCATCAAACCAACGACATAGGAAGGGATATTATACCTTTTTTAACCTAATTGGCCATATATACTTTTGTATATATAGTCTATAAAATAAAGATGTAAGTTAATTATGGACTAAACTTTGAGCCACGTTTTGAGCCAAGTTAAAAGGCACCAAGTGTAGCTTACCAGTTCGAGCATTCACACTACAATCACACTCTTAGCGGATAGATAGAGAAAGCTGGGGTAAACTGAACGTTTGCTTAGTTTATTCGCAACATTCAAGGAACATTCAAGAAATCTTGGAATATAAACATATTCACCTCGCGAAAAAAGGAAATTATCATCATTGCAATGCAAGCAATAAAATAAATACCTAAAGCATAGAGAAGATAAAACAATTTATGCACATTTTCAGGACAGACTTTTAAGTCAAATATTATAAAAAGTTCTTATGAACTTGTCGTTGTCGAACATGTATGTAAATGTGTTTTAAGAAAGAATGTTTTTTTTTTTATTAAAATATTTTACAAGTCATTTTATTCAAAGTGTTTTCTCTCGAATAATTCCTCAAACATGGCTTTATGCTGAAAAATCAACTCACAATTGTTTTCCGAATATTTTCCTCCACCACTGTCGTTGCAATCATTAACTGTGTAGCATTAATTGTTAGCGACAACCCTTTTCAGGAATGGTCTCATGAACTCAGATAGTTGATTTAAGTGATTCTGTGGTCTCCGGCATGTTTTACTGTGACATTTCCCCTGCGCCTGTCTTTCATCATTCATCGGAATATAGTTGCACTAAACGGCAAAACAAAAGGGGAAAGTCAATAAATAAATGACGATATGATGATATTATTATTAATTATGGGATCCTCTTGAGATCGCTCAAAATGTAATAACACTTCAAATGACCCATCAGTCAATAATTTTCCTTTTCCTAAATAATGGAATGCTATTTCCTAAATAATGGAATGTCCAAATTTCATATGTTTTTTGATAGAAGAAATGCCGTCAAGCCGAGAAGTGGCTTGAAAACTGTTAGGATAAGTGCTGTTCGTCAAAAAATTTATAACATTTTAAACGAGATTGTGCTGCATGCAGTGAGTGACAAAAAAATATCAAAACTAACGTCAACAATCTTTCTCGCTAGCGCACAAGCGAAGTTGCAAGAGATAACTACGATATCAAAAGACAAATAAAGCGTATATAGCCAATAGGATTCATCCTTGAGTTAAAACACGTCCATGTAGTACGTTTCATCAAAATATCTCAAAAATTGTGACCTGTAATTCATACACAAACATACGTGGACAGACAGAGGCATGGACGGACGGAAAGACAGATATGGGTAAACAAACCATTGTGGAACATAGTTTTCATGCGAGGGTATCTTTAGTCGTTGTAGATTTTCGAAAACACGCATAAACTTAATATGCTCCGCACCATGCAAGGCGTATGGTATAACGATGGAGGGAGATTACGCGAAGACGGAGAATACAGATTATCTGATCGATTAATTTTGCTGAGTGCTCTGAATTTTTCATAAAAAGATTTTTTAAGTCAAAAATTTTTCGTTTAACATTTCTTTCCGTCGTTGTGAAGCACAATAAAGTATGTTAAACTTTTTTGTTTTTAGGTCTGCCAACGGATGTGATTGCGTTTTGGCATCAATATCCATATTTATTTAGTTTACCATTTTGTAAGATACGTGCTTATATATCGGAAGCGTAAGTAGAAGACAATTTTTAAAGAAAGAAATAAAAAAAAAAACAAATAAATAATATAATAAAATAAAAAGGAAAAAGAAAAATAATTGATTTACATTTTCTTTTAGCTCCACGTATGTCTCCGTCTTTACAATTGCTGCCTTCTCGGTGGAACGTTATTTGGCTATATGTCATCCTCTGCATACATATGCTATGAGCGGTTTCAAAAGAGCCATCCGTATCATTATAGCTTTGTGGTTAGTGAGTTTTTTGGGTGCTATACCCTTCGGTATTATGACAAACATTATTTACACTTACTATCCTTTAGGTAAAAGTGAGAAGAACTTTTCTTTTTAGGAGTTTAGAGATGAGAGTAAACTTTTGCTTTCCTTCGTTTTTTTTTTTTTTTCTTTCTCTTTTCTCTTTTCTTTTTAATATTTTAAGATAATAAAATTATACCAGAATCAGCATTTTGTAGTCTCCAGCTAATACATGATATACCATTATTTGAATTATCATTTCTGGTATTCTTTCTCGCTCCTATGCTTTTGATCATATATTTCTATGGCCGCATGGGCGCAAAAATCAATTCGAGAACCTTACAAAATTTAGGTAAGTTCATCGCTAACATATTGAATAAAGGAAACCATCTATGCTTTACTTCTCTATTTCTCTATACTTTATGAGTAGGTGTACAGCATGCGTCTAAGGAAGGCGAAGTACGTCATTACCAATCTCGGAGGGCTGTAATCAGAATGTTAGGTAAGTTTTACCCTCCATTTTTTTGCTTGCATATATTTACACCGATACAGATCGGCTTTGAACGAAGGTAATTTAAAACAATTCGATTTTCGGAATTTGATAGTCCTAGACTTTCGTCTAATCTGCGACTATCAAAAAGCCAATTTTTACGGTAAGTTTCTGACTTATTGTGTAACATCCATCTATCTGCCGTTCTAGATGGTCTCTCATTCTGCTCAAAATTTCATCTCTCGGCGATTGTTACGGACATTAAAAGGTATCTTTTATCAATAATGGTAGTTGGGCTGTGATTGCTTGCTCTTTCATTCTCATTCTTTGTATGGGTAAAAATTCTGACAATAGTTTCTTGGCGTGACGTCACTTTCTCTAAAACATCTGCGAAGAAGAAGCATATATAACTCTGTATTTCTAAGTGAATATGCCCTATGCACTTTTAAGTGTATATATACGAGCAGCAGGTAAGTAGAAAATATGATTTTCTTTCCTTTCATCGTTTATTTGATGTTGAAGAGTTTTAAATTTTATACTCAGCAATTTCTTCAATAAATTTCAATGATAATATGCTAAGAAGGAATGTGAAGAAATTCCAAAATATTTCAGGCCATAGTAAAACATTCTAAATAAAACATTCTAGAATACATTCTGCAATACGTTAACTCATATGTAACGTGAGAAATCGCAGAAATATGTCAAACATATGTGTAACCGGATAAAATTAGTAAATGAATGTAAAAAAAATGAGTAAATTAGATAAAGATAAAATTGGTACAAGGTATATTAAGTTAGCGCAGACGGGCTTAAGATAGATCCACCTTTTGTTATACCGATCGTTTCAGAATCATAATCCCGATTGATCTAAGCCTGTCCGTCCCACTGATGTCTGCCCACGTATATTTGTGTTCAAGTTATACGTCGCAATTTGTGAGGTGTTTTCATGAAATTCGGCCCAAAGACGAACGCTATTGAAAATGGTTCGAATCGGCCCACCTATTCAAAAAAAAAATTGCAATTTTCAATAGTTCTCGGCAAAAGTGGCTAATCAGTACTGTTTCGACATTCTAAATTGGTATGAAAAGTTTGGACCGGCTGGGTCAATTTTTGGACTCCCTCTCATATAACGAAAATTGTCGTTCGTTCGGCAAAAAGGTATAATTTTCAATGCTTCATGATGAACATTATATTAAAATAGTTTTGACTGTAAAAAATTTCGATCATCACGGTCTATTTTTGGGGTCCTATTCTAATAAGAAATTTCACGAACATTGGTCCTTCGTATAGCAGAAAAATCGAAGTTTTAACAGGTGGTAATGGAAAGTGATTCATAATATGATAATAATTTCATACAAAAATGAACTCTACAAAATTTGGACTATCTAGGCCTATTTCTCGATCCTGCCCTATGTAAGCATTATGGTTGCACTACATTAGGTTGCGATGTGATGTAGAGTATTAAATGGTCGGCATTGCCCGACTATAATGTTTTTACTTGTTTTTTAAAATAATATAGTTCTTCATATTTCTCGATATTCATTGAAATTTGTCGGAGCATTTGTCGGACATAAAATTCAGAATTCTTCAATGTGAAATAAACAACCAAAGGAAAACGGATTATATTTGCTACATACACGCTTACTGGTCGGTTTTTTTCATACGCGCACACTCATATGTATTTCATAGCTCATGTATATTTAAAAACACAGCATTATATATACTCCTGTACATGCATATGATGAGAATGATAGAGCAAGCAATCAAATTACTGCTAATTTGCTAACAGTATTGCTACTGTTGTTGATAACAGAAACATCTCCTAGTTGGAACTTTAAGTTAAATATTGGATCATCTTGCTATTTAGTTGTGTCTAGTTCTTCTTTTCAAAACACTCGTCACAGCTTTAATAATAACAGAGGAAAAGACAAAATACTAAAGTGTATGACATAGAAGAGTTTCTCTAATTCTACCGCATTTAAGAGTTGAACCCGCGAACCGCTAAGTTGGTAGTCGGGATTCTTATCTATTGCTAATTTAGTCTTAAGATGCGTCTTACGTCGTTTAGTATTGAAAAAAATTGTTTATTTCGAATAATGGCGTCGTGTCATCTATGATTATCACGGTTATTTCTAATTACTCGAATGCCATAGCAGGCATTACGACGGAAGATCAGATAAGAATTTAGATATAAGGTTTGGTAATAGGTGTTCTCGACTAAAAAAGCCATACCACGGCAAGTAGAAAATCAGGACGGTATTGACTTTGATTATCATGGTATAGGGGAGTTTGTGTGAATTCCTTTCGCCCGACCAAACTCTTAGCAAGAGATGTTATTAAAGGGGCAGGGGTTATTTTTATCGAGCTTATGGTGTCAGCAAACAGCTGTTGAATGTATTGTTCTGGAAGACTATTGGACCAGAAATTCAGTTTATGTCACATCGTACTTAATTCCCTCTGTGCGTTAGTTTTGGTTCTCCTTGAAGCTCAAAGAATCCCTACGAAGACATCGTTTTAAGTCAATCGACAAGATACAGTGTCAATCTAAGAAGGCCGCTGCCGAGGCTATTCTAGATAACTATTTTAAAAACTTTAGAAAAACATTTTTATAAATATATTCGATTAAAAGGGAGGAAATTGGGAGGAATAACAATCTGTGCTTTACTTAAAAACATTTATTACTCTTTTAGCAAAGTAGTATAAGCGATTTTAGATTTCGAGCACAAAAAACCAAACCACAAAGTGGTCGGAGATGCTTCAAGCTTCTGAGAAAATTTTTTTAGGTTAGAAGGAGACTAATAGGCATATATTTAAACAGTGAACAAAAACATAATTTTTAAAAAACATTAAAAACGTCCAAAACCGCAGTCATTCTGATGAGGCAGCTTTAATTCCAATAGCCCTAGGGCATGCAGTGTAATTGATTCAAATTTGAATTTTAAAGAAGAAGACAAAATAGACTTTTAATCTACACGGCTATAGCCAACGGTTTTTTAGGATATGCTTCAGCGACTTTTTTCAGTTATTGATCGAGATTTAAGTCATAATGTATGCTTTGTACCCTTTCAGTTTCATCGCACTCACACTTCAACCATTCAACTATTTCCCTGCGAATTTCCATATTAGGGTCTCGATATTTCACAATGTCAGTATTCCTATATTTACGATGTTACGATCCATTAGGTCCCCATCAGACTTCCGTTAGGCTTAATTGCAAATTTCTAAATGCTTGGCACAAGAGCTCAGCGCTTTCAACCTCTTACTCTACACAACGGTTGTCTCAATAAAGTTATGCTAAAGTTTTCTCCATTACAATTTCTTTTACAAAAACATGAATACTTTTTAAATAAATTTATTTGTGGATTTGAGAAATTCGAGGATAATAGATAGGAGATTAGGCCGCAACTTTGCAGAACGTATTCTTTCCAGAGTCCTTCCGAAAAAAGCCACAGATTTCAAGGAAAAAAGTTTTTGGCCGTAACGAATTTTTTTCTACGTAATTTAAAGAGTTCAAAACATGAAAAGAGAAACAATGATTTTTTTTGAAAAATTAGCAGCGACGTTATCTCTTAACGATAAACGTATGCTTGTATGTAAGAATCTAAGCATGCATGTTGTAAAAGAATCTAAAACATTCATCGTAATGGACTTTCTTGTATAGAATTTCTTTCGATGAGAAGGCCACAGTTGTAATGAAAATGATACTACAAGCACTTTAATCAATTAACCGGACTAATTGTAGGCCTATACAGGCTAGAGGTTATCTTAACCTATGCGAGTAGAAATAACCAATCAGTTCGTTTGTAATCGTGTTAAATAAAAAATTTCTAACAATGATACGGAACTTGTAACTTGAAATTATTTGCTTATGAAATAATACATGCCTATACGAAGATAGAGGTTGTCGTAGCCTATGCGAATAGAAATAACCAAGGTTTGATTGTATTCACGGGAGAAACATAGCATACTTTCTGTTATTATTATTGTCGGTATTATAAATTTAGTCAGAGAATAAATTCTAAGATTAAAGTCTAAAAGCACTGGCATCTAAGGCTTTCGGCTTTATTAAAAACTCGACCGCACTTGAGGTTTGAACCCACGACCATTGAGAGTTTCAAGTCAAGATTCATGCCCACACGGCCACTCAAGCGGATACTTTCTGTTACTGTTACGGATTAAATAAAACATTATCTCATTTTGTCTATTACAGCATTTTCTAACAACGATACGGAATACACATTTTTCATAACTTGAAATTATTTGCTTATGATGTAAAATTTTTCTTGTTTCTTTGCTGGATGTTGTAACGAATTTCTTTTAAATTTTCAAAATATGAAATAAGTAATTCTTACTGCAACGTATATATTAAATATCAAATAGCTTGTTTTGCTTTTCGATACCATAAATAAATTTGCATATTTTATACCCATCACCGAAGGAGGAGGAGTATATTCATTTTGTCAAAACGTTTGCAACGCCCCGAAGGAAGCATCAAGAACCGCGCAAAAAGTATACATATTCCTAAGCAAATTCTAGATCGATTTAAGCATGTCTGTCTGACCATCTGTCCGTATAGATAATGTCTCTTGTCAACATTCTCCTGGTCATAAAAATGATGCTATCGACTTCAAATTTGGTAGACGCATTGAAAGTTCTTGCACGCAGATTTGCATTGAAAATGGGCTAAATCGGTCAAAGGACACGCCCATAGGACCACGTATACTTATAAATAATTCGCTTTTCAAAGCGAATGAAAAATTGGCTTTTTGCTCATTACTGATAAACTATACCAAATAAATGTCAAATAAAAATTTGAACGCATATTCTGTAGGCGATGTTGCAGTACCTGCCCACCCAATATTATAGTGTATCAAAATTGAATTATTTTTTCAATATTTTGATAAAACACAGAAACAAGCTTCCAAAACCCGATAAAGTATACAAATTCTTGGCCAGTTTCAAATCTTGAATGCCCGACTATTCTGCCGTCCATTTGTCTGTTTATGCAATTTTGTAGTATTTGTAATAAACATAGTCTCGTAAGCTATGATGAATTTGCAAAAGAATTTGAAATGGACCTAAACTTTTCAAAGAAGACGCCTCCGACGCCCACATGCATCTACGAAAAAGACTTTCATTATGAAACAAGAAAATAATCAACTCCATATTACAGAGTATAACAATTTTGTTCTTTGACACCTTTTATCTTTTTTTGGTGTAAACGGTGGTGGTTATAAGAGATTCGGTCCCGATCGAATTTAAATTTCTTACTTGTCACATTTGTATCTTTATATATTATTATTCAAGGCTTATTGCAATCGTCGTCTTATATGAAAATAAAAACATCTGTTGCAATGTCACAGTTAGATACATTCTTATGCTGCATAAATGTGCTCATGTATATATATATATATATATATATATGATAGAATTTTGAATAACAAATATGTACTCCAAAAATTTCTCAGTTTACGTTCCATTTAATCAACAGTGCATATAAAAACTTGAAATTTTTCTTATCAGCAAACAAAAAAAAAAAAAAACAATAAGGAAGATAGTAAAAATATATAAACATTTTCCTGATAATGACGCTTGAGTATTAAGTATCTAAACTTAAAGTAATGGCGGTAGTTTCGAATATTTGACTGATGGCAAACGGGAAGCGAATATTTATAACAGCACTCTACAAGTGGGCAGTGCGATGTCTGCACTAGTTAATAGCATTTATAGAAAATTGTTCCTATTGGGGAGACAATAATTTGCAGACAGACGCATGGCGAAACGAGAAGATTTTAAATTTATTTAGCAAAAATCTATAAGTAGCAAAGCACATGAATTTTCAAAGACTTAATAAAAGTAAAAGCTTACAAACATCATTTTTCCAGGCTACCCTTAAACTCTCTGTGTACAATCATAATAGACGAGTTGTTTTTGCTATGAAAGCATTACATAGTTAGTTAGTTAGTTAATTAATAATGAATTCATTGAAGATAGGTTAAAACAAGTCAGAACATTATAGTTGAACAAGGCTGACCATTCAATACTCTACAACACATTGTGTCTAACATAATTCTCATTTTTATTATAGAACACAACAAAATTATATCTTGTTTCTATATAAAGGCATATTTTCCATGATCGTATTTACGGGGAAGCGAACCCAAAAACGCAATCCAATGTAGCACAAATTTCATCATTACATAGGGCAGGGATCCTGAAATAAGAGTTCATTTGTGTATGAAATTATTATAATATTATGGGTTACTTTCCATCACCACCTATTAAAACTTCGACTTTTCGATTTTTGGTATACATCTTTGTGAAATTCCTTATTAGTGTGGGACCCAAAAAATAGGCCGAGATGGTCCAAATTTGGAACAGTTAATTTTGTTTTTTTGATATAATTTTCATTCTGAAGCAGTGAAAATTGCACGTTTTTGTCGTATGAACTTCAGTTTTCGTTTTATGAGAGGAAGTTCAAAAATACGCCGGTTCAAAATTTTCATACCAATTTAGAATGCCGGCAAATCTTCGCATTGTTTATAATGAAGATGTTTTATCAAAATCACTAGCCAGCAAATCTGTTTGCCCGTTTTCTTTCTGGATGTTTCGATCTTGAATCTGCGACATGTATCAGGATCGGATTCATCAATTGATAAAATCGACAGACAGACAGACCGACACATCTTATCCTAAGGCAAATAAGGCATTTCAATATTTGAATATAGTATGAATTACTAATAAAAAATGTTATGAAAAAATTCTCATTTCCAAGAATGAGTTAGCTTCATAGAGCTTGAATGCGCGCGATGTAAAATGTGTTACATGCAACATGCAACAATAATATGAGAAAAAGATTGCTGTGCAAAATGGATGAAGCGAGCAAGCTTCAATCAACAATTTACTCAAAGTATTTTGCTTTATCTTAGCAACTATACATAAACTGGGCAACCTTGTCCTTTTTCCACAGTCCCGATGAACGAGCGAATGTATATCACAAAGAAGAAAAAAATCAACTCTGTACATACACTAACACCTAATGCCCAATACCAGTGAGACGCAGAAGACGCAAAGAGAAACCAGTATGCCGCGACAGCATGCGAACAGTTGCACGAGCTCTACACCACATAAAGGAGGATTTTCGTGACCGATTTGGAGTCATTTCTTCGGCCGTCAAGGCACTTTTTGAAAAGCAGTTTTTTCCATCGTCCTAATATTCTTCTTTTAATGAAGCAGTTGCATTAAGGCAGACTAATCACAATTTTTATAGCACATTTTATGCCCCACATACTCGCGCCAAGCCTAATAATAATAGACTTGTTGCCGATCAATTCTTTTGAATTTTTATTTTTATATTTGAAGCTTTTCATTTGCATTAGTGTTTTTGCTTTTACCTTAAATTAATGTAAAAGTTTTCTTCTTTTTTTTTTTGCCTTTACAGCGGCTGTTGTATTGACTTTTTTTCTTTGCTGGCTACCTTTCCACTTGCAACGTTTATGGATCATTCATGGAAGATCTCATAGCCATTATTTGACTATCAATGAAGTGCTCTTTTCATTGGCTGGTTTCTCTTATTATATTTCATGGTAAAAAAAAAAGTTATTTTTATTATCTAAATTTTCATATAAAAATGTATAAACAAATAATATATATATTTTTCTATAGCACAATAAATCCCATGTTATATAATGTCATGTCTCATCGTTATCGCGTTGCATTTAAAGAAGTTTTATGCAATAAACGTAAAACAGTTCCATATAGTAACGGTTGTGGTAATGATGCATCGAGTGCTCGCGAAATAACTGTAGCTTCAAGTCTTTATAATACCAGCTCATCGGATCCTCGTTGCTCGGTAAATTTATAAATGTATAAATTAATATTGAATGTCCAAAAGTGATTTTCCCTAAAGCACATTTTTATCGATATTGCTTAAAACTTTTCTTTTCTCAAAGACACGGACTCGTTCTTTAAATTTTGTAAATAACAGGCGGGAACGAAATTCTATACAATCGAACAATATTATTGGTTGGCGTCACGAAATCTGTCCAGTGTTAGAGAAGGTAATTATTAAGAAAGAAAAGAAAAAAAAGTAAAGAAATTATATTCGGTTATGACCGAATCTTTTATACCCATCATCGTCATCCCAAAATAGACTAAAAACAAACGGAAAAATTGCATTTTCACGCTCTATACTATTGGGTGGGTGTGTGAACAATTTTTTCAGTAAAAGTCGAAATTGATGTGTGCCACGTTTGTCTATTATAGTTTATCAATAGAAAAAGGAAACGAGTTTATGAATAACGAAAGCAAAGGTGGTCATTGCAAAGTAGGCATGTTCTTGGACCAATTTAGGACATTTTTAAACTCCCTTGTAATTCAATGCGAAATACTTACATAATTGGGCTAACGGACAAATGGACAGACGAACGGGCGCTTCATGCTTAAGTGTATATCAAGTTTGACACTGCTCAAAAATATATATACTCTATGAGATTTTTGAAGATGGGTTCTGTCCATTTAAAAGGTTCTGACAAAAAAGTGAAAACTTAAGATTGGGTAGGCGATATCTATTCCTCCCATTTTTATAAAGGCACTACAAGTATCGCCCATAGAATATGCGTTTGCACATTTATCTGTTCTGGTTTCTGGCTAATGAAACGGAGATGCTCTCAGTATACTTGACATTGTAGGCATGGCCTACGACGGATTTGACCCATTTTCCCATGCCAATCTGCGAGGAAGAACTTTCAACGCTTCTGCCGGATTTGAAATCGTTAGCTTAGTATATGCGATCATAAAAATTGTATAGACGGACTGACGGACATGTTTAAATTGATTTGGAAATTGATGCTAATCAAAAATGTGTACATATCATGAGCACTTTGTAGCTTCCTTCTGGGTGTTGCAGGCGTTTTGACCAACTGAATATACACTTCGTCCTTCGATGATGAGTAAGAAAAAATCTGGCTTTGCATTTGTATTTAGTTAAAATCGATATAACATTCGCATTGAGTTAAAATTATTTGAGAAAGTTGTTTTTTTCCTTTTGAATATACTGATGCACGTAAAGAATTCAACTCTAAATGGTACAAATAATATCATCGTATGTGTTGATAATAATACCAACGGCAGTACAAAGGTTTTTACCGAAAATGAAGTCCATGAGACATTATTAAATCATAATAATGAAACTTGCATTTAAGCTCATTGAACCATTTGTAAGACTGCTCGTTACGTGGTCTATAAGAATTAAATATAATAACAATGATAATGAGAAATTGAACTAAATAAAGTCTGTGTATTTTTTATACTGAATGTTATTTATCTATCTAATAATTCTATGAATAAATCAATATTTGCTAATGTGTTAATTACACATCACACTGGTAGTAATTGTAGCAAAGCAGTAATGTAGTAAAGTAATGCATACACATATATAATTTTACATACATTTTATTGTATTTATATCATTCATATGTACTTTAAAAATCTATATTAAATTTAGTGTAAATGTTTTTATATATACGATAAGGTATTTTTATATGTACATTTGTTAAATATCCTATAAATATGCTATCTTTTTATACCCATCACCGAAAAATGACGCCTATATTCATGTTGTCAAAATGTTTGCAGCGCCCAGAAAAAAACTTCAAGACCCCCCCCAGCCCCCCCCCCCCTCCCACAAGGTAATACATGTTCTTGACCAGCATCAAATTCTAAATCGATTTAAGTCTGTCCGTTTGTCCGTCTGCCCGTCTGTTGTAAATACTCTCTTGACTGCAAAAATGAAGCTATCGACTTCAAATTTCCCAGATTGACATTGGAACGTGTTGCACACAGATTGCTATTGAAAATGGGCAAACTTGTGTGCTATAGTGTGTAATAATTTCATTTTGTTTTTTCAGAAGCAAACTTGCCAAACTCCATAAGGTAGATAGATTCTTGTCCGATTTCGAACTTGGAATGCATCTAAGCATTTGTCTCTCTGTCCATTCGCGCGACTGTGTCGTATTTGTAGTAAACACTTTCCCCTTTGCAAAATATGAAGACAACGCCTGCAAACTTGCAAAAAACTCTATGAACACTTTTGCTTTCCGTATTTTTACTTCGTTCTCACAAAGTACCACACGTAAACCATATAGATAGAAGCCAACTGCCCCTACCCTTAAGGGTCACGGTAATGGGTACAAAAAAGTCGGTCACGACCAAATAATCTTTTCTTACTTTTTTTTTTTTTTTTCTATAACAAATTTGTGATTAAATGTGATTTACTCTAGTCGATTACATATTTTATTTTTTTCTTTTTATTTAATATTGGAAAATAGCTACTCTACTAGGAACGTTTAAATATTTTTATTCAATTTTTTTTCTTCCAACTCTTCTCATTAGTTTTGCAAAAAACTATCTAATTAAAGTTGAACTTATTTGAAAAAGTGAGGGAAAAAGAAATTAGCCTTAAACGCCCATAAAAAATGCATTTTGCCTCCCAATCGAAGCTTCAATTTCGATGAAAGAACAACGAAAATTTACTCAGTGAAAAAAAAAAAAAAATGTTTATAAAGCACTATGTATAGCACATATATATATATACATACATACATATATATATTTATGAAAGAGGACAGAGAATGAGTCAACTGTACAACCATTTAAAATACATATATTTTTTAATCATCGTAAGACCGGATTAGCCTACCGTACTGAACTATCTAACAATTTATGATTTCATTATAAACTATTTGTCGTAATAAAAAAGTAAACGAAGCGATCAGGATATCAAATCTAGATATGTACAAAATAATTCATATTTTATTCGCAGTCATTCTGCCTGCGATTTGTTATAGAACTCATATTTACATATACATACATTATCTTGAAGAGGTAAACTTTTTTAAGTTAAGAAACAGTATCCTACGTGATTCGAGTTATTGCATTGATATCTAACAATACGGGGAGACAAATTTGCTACAGTTTGAGCTTTTAAAATTAAATTAACAATTGCTGGCATTTTAATATTAAACTCATATCCAAATATTTTGTTCATACTCATTAATGTTGTTCATTATCTTAATGTACTTGATTACCTGACTTTGTTTAATACATAAATGAAAAGACACAGAATTGAAATTTAAAAAACAACCCTTTAAATATATTAATGTTATTACGTATTAAATATTGAGTATAATTTTAAAATATATGCATTTTTTTTAATTACTTGCAGAACATTCTTCGTAAGTATTTTACTCGAGTTTTGTTCAAAATCATGCCCTTTTTAGCAAGCACGTCCAATTGCTATTTTCATATGAGCGACTAACTTTCATAATAAAAAAAAGTCCTTTCATCAATATTATCACTTTCATGCCAACGCCGAGTCTGCATAGGGCAAAATTCGCTTCGCCTGCAAGCTGTTCAACTTTATGGCGAGTCATATCGACCTTTTCACGACTCACTTTTATACCCACCATTGAAGGATGGAGATGTAATCACTTTGTTTTCTTTTCATAACATGTGTAAAATCCAAAATGAAACTTCAGAGACTCTATTAAGTAGATCAACGTGAAACCCTGAACTGATTAATCCGTGTCTGTCCGTCCGTTAGATGTTTGTGTTATCACGCTCCCGGTCGCAAAAACATTGGAAGTCTTGGCACGCAGATTGGTAGTAAAAACGGACCAAGTTGGTCAGAGCAGACGCCCGCAGTGAGGCATATACTGAATGCAACTCCGATTTTCTCAACGAAAATTCGACTGATTTTGCACGTTTCTCAGAAATTATAAAAGTTAGAAGACTGAAATTTTCCACATTTACTTAACGGTACAGTCTACTCTTTACATGCAAAAATGGAAAAAATCTGTTATACCCACATGAAGTTACAGATAATTGAATTCTATATTTTTTTTCACTTTTTTGAGGTTTTATACTTATTTATCATAACACAAACAAGATAGAATGTTTAAAACTATTCTGTACATTCGTCATTGAAGATATAAAAATCTGCCTAAAAATGGATGGGTTCTAAAATGAATATTTTAGACGCCGCGTTTAATTGGTTCTTAGTAATACGAACTTGATATGGCTATCAAATAAAAGAACTTCGAGAGTAGTATGTGAAAAGCACAGTGGTGGGTATACAAGACTTGGCCCTCGTCGAATATAACTTTCCTACTTGTTTTTTTTTTTTTAAATAAATTTTAAATTTTGATAAAAACTAAGGAAGCAAAGTGGCAAGTAAAAATACACGTCGATTTTTTTTTTTTGGAATTATTGAGTCTAAAAACAACTCTTTTTGTTTGACACCATCATGTAAAACTTGAAAAATTGAAAATTAATTTTTCTTTGTGTTATAAGTGCTATTAAACTTAAAGAAAGAATTTCAAATAATTCTTTATTCTTTCAGAGCTACATATTATAGTCAAATCACTAAGCGAGAAATAACTCTGAAAAACCAACAATCCGAGAAGAATCCGCAAAGAATCATGAGAGTCAACTCCCCTTTTGTGGCGACCAGCTGGGCTTTTAGTCTGACAATAACAAACAAGTAACAACAGACGCTTTGTTTGCCAACTTAGCTACTGCTATTAACGAAATATATTCTCAGTTCCCATGAAAAGTTATTAAATATTAAATTGCTCAAGTTCGGGCCAATATATACCCAAAAACAAATATATATATATATATATGTATATATTAGTTTGGGGAAAAAGAAATCCATTATTTTTATATGAACTTCAGGACTTTATTTAACATGCTTCGGATTGTCCGATTTGGGTCAAATATGCACCGTTTTGTTGTACGATTTGTTGCCATTTTAAAGGTAACTTCAAAATGCCTCTCTCATAGAAGTCCTGGTCTCTATTTGCAAAAAACTCTAGTAGTCGATTTTCACAATCCTCCCTAGATTCCAATGTTTTATCATTAAAGAAATTTTGGAAGGGAAGAAAACGATGATAATCGCTTGGTGCCAAGTCCGGACTGTATGGCGGATGCATTAAAACTTCCCAACCAAGCTCCCGAAGTTTCTGGCGAGTCACTGTAGATGTGTGTGGCCTAGCGTCATCCTGGTGGAACACGACACCTCTCCTGTTGGCCAATTCTGGCCATTTCTGATCAATCGCTATCTTCAAACGGTTCAGTTGTTGACAGTAGAGATCAGAATTTAGCGTTTGGCCATATGGAAGCAACTCATAATAAATAATCCCCTTCCAGTCCCACCAAATGCATAGCAAAACCTTCCTGGCCGTTTGCGGTGCTTCACCGTTCTTTGACCACGATCGTTTTCGCACAGGGTTATCGTATGTGATCCATTTCTCATCTCCATTCACCATCCGTTTAAGAAATGGGTCTATCTCATTCCGTTTGGCCAAGGCTTCGCAGATGGAAATTCGATCCATCATCCATCATGTTTTTTTCTGTTAATTGGTGTGGCACCCAAACATCGAGCTTCTTTTTGAATCCAGCTTTCTGTAAATGGTTTAAAACTGTTTCCTGGGCGATATTACGATTGCTAACATGCCGGTCAACTTCGATCATTTCTCCGATTTTATCGACATTTTCGACGACCGGCCTACCTGTGCGAGGTGCATCTTTAACATCAAAAATTCCTGAACGGAATCTACGAAACCAAAATTGCACATAATTGGCTGTTACAGTATCGGAACCATAAACACCATTCACAATTTTAGCCGCCTGGCTTGCATTTTCGCGTTTGTCAAAGAAAAACTATAAAATGTACCGAATTTTCTCTTTGTTCACTTCCATTTTTAACACGCTGTAACTCACAACTGAATGCACCAAACAAAAAACAGCAAAAGAATTTTTTTTACTGCGAAATGTCACCTTTCCAACGAGCATAAATCTGAAATGGTTTGATCGATACTTTACGAGAAATCTATCAGTGCAGCCATCTACCGAAAAAATAATGGATTTCTTTTTCCCCAAACTAATATATATATAAATAGAAACTTCATTACAGACTCTTTAGCGTACGGTTATACAGGCGGAATGATCTACGATTACTCAGGTTCAAGTTCGTAGCAACTATAAAGCATAATTCCTTCAGATTTTTTCAAAATTTGTTCAACTTGCGAATAATTACTAATTTAATTAAAACTTATTTTGGCAGATAAGATTTATTTTTGTTTGCCCTCCACATATGTCATAAGAACGTTCTGTCTTGTGGGAGTATTTCAATGCTTTCTTCTCTCACATCACGCACGTATACATGCATGCACGTGTGCATAAACTCACACACACACACACACACACACACACCCTATGTGTGTCTCCAATTGAAGTAACGAAAGAAAGAAATTCTTTGAATACATGAAACCATCTGAAGGCTCACAAATGTTTTATACTTATGAAGCAACTACTGGATAAGAATAAGGTACACACTCTTCAGTGCCATTTACATTCTTATTATAAATGAAATCTTCAATTAAAAATACATTGAATGCATTAAAACGTTAAAGTACATATATATATTATATATATAGTTCACTCATCAAAATCTATTTATACGCATAGCCGCATTGGTTTGTGTACAAGTTTGCTTGTTAGAAACATGGACGAATGGATTTCGCATTTACGTATTTATCGCAGTAGTAACATTTAAAGAGCATTAAATCACAAAATAAAAAAAAAAAAGTAATGAAATGGAATTCATTTGTGTGCCTTCTTCGAGATTCGAAAACTTCATCAATAACCATATAAATAGAACCAGTTAATTAAACTTCCTCTTATTGATGAATATAGCAGAAAATCTTTCAATTTGTATCACATGGCATAAGCCATTTATTGATAGAGGAATGCATGAAATGAATGAAACGAAATCGAAACCGACCGTTTGTATGACTACAACTTGTTTATTTAAACGTATCGATTATCCGATTACACTAAATGAATTAATGTGCATGGCGTGTCTATGTCATTGGTTAATCGAGTCTATAAAAATTTTAACGGAAGCTGACAAAATCATACCGAATAAGGTCTCTTGTGACCAAGTGCGTAAGCAAACGTTGTTAGGCAACTCAAGAAAATGTAAAGGAAACAAAATGCTTGAAAGCAAGTTTAAACACGTGCATCGACACTATTTCGATCAAATATATTTGAAATGATATCAAAGCAACTTAAATTAAATCATACAACAGAAATTAAATTTCCCACAAATGCTCTTTTAATAATGATTTGGTTATATGTTGCTTTTTGCATTTATATATAAAAACTTAAAGATTTCACTAAAATAGTCGCAGTCTCATACAAATCATTACGAGTGGTATTGATTTAAGGCGCAAAAAAATAAAAATATATAAAAATCATAATTTATAACAATGGGATGGCAATCGCTTGTGAGTTCTAACGAAGTCGTCGTATATTATCATCCTTTAAAAAAAAAAACTCTTATATCCTTCATTTTGATTAGGTTAAAGTTGTGCTGCTAATATGCTTAGGGGAATTTTTGCATACGAAATATGTTCGTGCTACAATGCCAGCGTTTTATAGGCAAGTGAAGTTGCTGCCATTTTTGCATACAGCAAGCCCACAACAACAAGATGCAATTAGAAATCAGCGTTCTTTATATGGATCAGGTCAACAAGTCGCAAGTTATAATATCGCTTCTCTAGGTGCTAGTCATGTACCGCAAAATGGATTGATTAACTTGTTGGAATCGACTAAGCAACAAGGCTTTCCGAATAATGCTGCTGTTGCTTTTGCTAATCCTGGTGCTAAAGATATAATCCCGAATATGCCTATGTCGCTCTCGTTGCCCCCATTTTTACCATTAAAACTAGGTGGACAAACGGCTGGTACATCCAGTGTTAGTGTCGCCACTGCCGAAGACTTTCAAGATCTTGCGCAAGCTAATCTTCGTCTTCAGAGTCCTTTCGATGGCAAACGATACGCTCCCATCAACGCGATGCTTGCTCGTCCTTTTAACAAGCCCGGGTAAAAAATTCCAATTACGAGTTTTCATCACACTTTATCACTTCCTCGTCCGCTTTTGCATGCATTTTCAGTGTATCTTTCCTACCGCCACCGTCAATATTGACTCATCCACCAGGCCCTTTGAGTCTTGTGTCCTCAAGTCAATTGCTTAGCAATTGGAAAAATGACTGAAGCGTAAATGCATCATTTTGAGTTTTTTTTTGTTTTTTTTTTCAATAACTAAGTTTTTAGTCTTAATATAATTAAAGTAATGTTCTCTTTTGTCTTATCAATAAAGGTTATCGAGCGTGATTTTTTTGCAAAGAAAGTATGAAACGTTCTTGAAAATTTCTTAGTAGAGGGAAACTTTATAATACTTTGCGGCTAGGGAACGCTAAGCGAGGTATTGCACAGGATGCTGAAGCAATGGCACATAAACTTTAAGATTCGAACAATCTTATGCATCACAAATTTTAACGTGAAATTCAAACTGTCACAAATATTCCATCTTAGGATTAAGCCAATAACATAAAATAAAACTTTCCTGTATCCATTTATCTTATGTTTCCCATCTAGCTTCCAGTTTCATTTCAAAGCAATAATAATCTATGATTACTTTGAGCAGCACGATCTAATAAAAATGAAACAAATGCATTATATATTTACACACGTACACACACTCATATATATTAAGGGTAATATAAAAAGTCTTCGCGATTTGTTATCACTGCATGATGTTGATGCCTATATTTCAGGGGCAACACTCAATTGATTGTCGCAAGCGAACATATTCTTATAAGGTGACATATAGTTTTCTAATTCTTTGCTTATGTAAAAATTTATACTATACTGACTAGAAAAGGAGCGAAACATCTTAAGGATATACGTTATATAATGCTTTTTTCCTATTAAAGAGGTACCGAAAAATTTGTGAAGTATAACATGAGAATAGTGTGAATGAACAAAGGACCCAGGAATGATTCTCTCAATTCCGGAAGATGCACTTCGTTCAGGTCGGGCGGTCATTGAGAAAGTCGGAGCAAGATCGGCTCGTAAGCTGTCAGAAAATAGCGGAGGCACTAAACAACAACCACATGAACGTTTGGAATCGTTTGCACAGAACAAGCTACAAAAAGAAGCTGCAAAGGAGAGAAAAAAACCGCGGAGACTTTTCACATCATCCATGCGTATGTGTGCATGAGAACATTTCTATAAGTTTAGATAAAGTAAAACTGTACTTTGTATAAATAAACATATATATATACATATATATATATATATATATATATATATATATACAATGACACATAATGATTAGCGTGCATGTCAACATAATTATTAAACATCTGGCGGTTTTGGAATATAAACCGCAGATCATTACCCAACCGCACACAAAAATGAATACTAATTAATGGTTACATGCTCATGCCATCTCCATTTAAATCAATATACAATCCTTACGCATATAAGCAAAGGTTCCCGAAAGTAAAATTATTTTCAATAAAAGCTATATTGCTCTTAGCGGCAAGGCAGCGTACTCTGTATGTTGGTGCTACTGCATGTACCGGAGCGTGTTCGTTAAACGAAAGATTAAAATTAAGAAAATACTTCAAAACCCAAACCCAACGCGTAATCGATAAATTGAGATCGTGATTAGCATGTTCTCTTGCCTATTGCCCATTTGCAGTACACTATCGTATTATATGATACTTTAAAGTATTTATGTTATTTCGAATTCTTGCGCAGACGTCCAGGTTTTCGCTCTTTTTAAAACGAAAGCAGATCTGAGTAAAAAACATAATGTTTTCAAGAGTATAAACATGAAGGCTTTCCCCTTCTCAATATCAATCTAATTATGGGTATTAAGCCTTAATGGATAAATACAGTCATCTAAGCGTCATTATTTAGTTTAATTAATTCAATCATAGTGGAACCTAAGATACCTCTTAAGATTTCTCAACTTACACTTAAAATTGTTTTTGATGACCTCAAATGGAATTTTGCCGAAATCAATCTGTTGTAAGATGGCAAGAATGTTGATGTTGAACAAAGCCTTTAAAAAACGCCTTTAAAAAATTCCTTTAAAGAAATTGTCTTGTAATGAAATTTGAAGAATCTCAGTGTCAGAGACAACAAATTTACCGCAAAATGATGAATGTATTGTAATGAATATATCCCGTGAAACATATGTTTGCCATAACAATACTTACTTATACATGTATATGATGCTATGCATACCGTAAATCTTCTAAGCCCTTGTATTTGAAATAATTTTTTTTGTTCTGAAAGTGAAGGAATTTCCTGTTCATTTCTTTTCTTTCCTATTTCTTTTCTATTTATTTCTCTCTCTCTCTCTCTCTCTCTCTCTTTCGTTTATCTTCATTTTCTATTAAAGCTAAGTTTTTACACATATAAGTGTTGGCAGAATGGATTAAATTACAATGTCCTCAGCAATTTTTGAAAAAAATTTACATACTACTTATGACCATTAAAACTTGAAAGAGTATTTCATGTTGCGTATTAAAAGGACTTAAGGGATGTTGTGAATTAATAAATAGCTATATATACAAATACGTACATGCGAGACATTCCATATTTTAATAAATTACTCAAATACTCTGAAGGAGAAAACGAAGAACGAATGACGTATATATCTTACATTGTCATACGGAAATCATTTGTAGCTCCCAAAATACATAAGGTGGGAACCCATTGTAACAGACTAAAAAACGCATGTCAGACAAGCTTCGTTTTTCTTTTAAGACGGTACAAGTTGCAATAGAATAATAATAATATTCAAGAATGTTATTAACCAAATATTTATAACAACATATATATGCACAATGCGAACCGTCATTCTACCGCAGTGAAAGAAAAATAGTTTGAATTATTTACGACAAAAAGCCGCTATATTTACTCACGTATGCTGCTTAATTGCAAAAGTTTTCTTTTACATTGTATTAGGTGCTTGCATATATTTTGATCATTTACTTATTTGGAAAAGGTATTCCTTGAAAGAAATTGTTGCAATATTTATTCATCAAAGAATTTTCCATAATTTTTTACTACTTTCTACTAACATCTTTATGGCAAGATGACAATGTCGTGCCGAAAAAACGATATTGGCTTAGCCGCGATCCAATCATCGACTCATCTCCTGATTTCTTTGGCATTTCGAAACCGCTTATCAGCAAAACCCTGCTGCATCGATCTGAACAAGTGGTAATGAGAAGACGCTACGTCTGGCGAGTACGCTGGGTGCGATAGAACTTCCCATTCGAGCTGCGGCGGTGTATCCTGGAGAACACTTGCAACGTGTGGCCGAGGGTTGTCATGCAAGAAAATGACTTTGGGTCTGTTGGTCTGTTTTGCAACACTAGACCGTTCACTTTATTTAATTGACGTCACTAACCATATCCAGTGAGAAGTTTCATTCAATTTTAGTAGCTCGTCATACACTGCATCTTACTGCTCCCGTTATATACACAGCAAAGCTTTATGGCCGTGAATATTCCGTTCTGTTCGATGTCGATGTGGGGGACTCTCCCGAATTATAGTATGACTTTTTGCGTTTGGGAAGCGTCGGGTCGTAGTAGACTCAGAAAACTTTTCTTTTTTTTTTTTACCTAGCAAGCAATGACACCGTAATGTTGCAACTGTTCGAAATGGCACATTTAGCCAGAAACCGTTGATTCGTCAAATGCTAAGCTATTCAAAAGTTGTTCGAGAATTTGAGATGGTGTTTCGTCCAATAAGTCTGCTAATTCATTATTTTTTAACTTCCTTGATCTTCAAGGCAAAACCGACAACTAGTATATGATGGAGCAGCATAAGCTTCTAAAAGTATTTGATGGCTTTCGACAGCAGATTGCTTCCAATCAAATAATAAAAGCAATGAATGTCGAAAAGGCGATTTCGAGCGTTCCATTATTATGCTGTATCTGTATTCATTCAATGGAAAACGATTGTTTTATGTAGAGAAAAATCAAAGTCATCAAATTTAATCGTTGTGTACATTGACACTTCGCATTACTTTATCATTTTCACCAATATATATCGTCGATCAAAATACATGCAAGTACATGTTATTATTGCAAGAGCGAGCACACATGCACACAAACAATTCCCCATGGTAATTAAAACTTTGCGATATATGAACTTGAATTTCAACAAAATCAATTTTCAACAGTGAACAGTCGTTAAATTACAGTTAATAAGTTAGGGTCATGCGGCTTTGAACATGACGATGGATCAATCAAGACCATTTTTGTGTTAAACTCTTAATTGCATTAAAGGAATGTTTGCAATAAGTTTTTATTCTAAGATAGATATGTTCAAAATTAACGGGCAAAACAATCGGCTGTTCAAAGCTTTGCATATATCCATATGCATTGCGTACTTTCTACGTATCTGGCAAATTAATCGGAATGATTGTCTTTTAAAGAAACCAAATTTCTCAAAGTTCTAACCCAAATTGTCTTATACGGAAAGGAATTTTAACTTACTTAGATTTTATGTACCAACGAAACTGTCTGTGTTCTAAAAATTGATCCTACACAACAGATGAAGGGTATATTAAGTTTGCGCCTCTTCAAATTTACGCAACCACTTAAGTACAGATTATTCTGCTGGTAAGAACAAATTACATATTCACGCAAAATTCTTGTAGTGACATTTTCGATGGAGACGCTGACATATCAACTTAACCTACTTTCCACTCCGTTTCCATGTCACTACAATTAAATAAAGTTTTTAAAATTCTACAATGGAACATTAAGGGACTTCTTAACAATTTTGATGAACTCCGTACAGTCATAAGTGATCTCAGTCCAACCTTTATATCGCTTCAAGAGAGCCATTGTAGAACCTCTTTTAATCCCATTCCTCCCAAATCATATACTGGATACTTCACGAATGCTGATCAAAATTCATATTCCAAACAAGGATTTGGTGTTTTTATAAAATCAAGTATATCTCACAAACTCATAAATTTAAGCTCAAATGTGCAAGCCGTAGCGATA